TTTTTCATTTTTCATCACACAATAGTTTACATGTCTAGAGTGTAGAGATCTGAAAAAAGTGAGGATAAATTTTTTTAGTTTTACCGGTAGGGCACTATTTATGCACCATTTGCCGGTAGGGTATTACATATGAATCATAAGTCATGTTTAGAAGGATAATTGGGTATGTCATAGAAGATAACATGCTTATAATGTTAAAATACACCTACTATGCAAATTTGAGCCTAAACGAAAATAGTTGTAAAAATTAGACAAAAAAGGTATCTCGGGAGGCCTAGGTGGGACCGGCCAAACCCAGCCACTAGCGAAAATCTATATTTTTGAAAACATTCATTTAAAATAATTTTAAAAATTTTGGTCAAAATAAAATGTCGAATTGAGGCGTTTTGGGACGAGTTGTAGTGTAACAGGGTCCCGAATTCATCAAGGGCAAAGATGTCAAGTATTCTCTTTTTGTCATTCACTTGAATCGGAGCACCTAAATTTGTAGACAATATTAGTATGCAATAGTAAATTCAACACTATTCTTCATTATATACTTACACGCTACAAGAAGCATTTCATCATGGACCCGAATCGCATCAGAGATGACCAAGCCAAAGCCAAACACAGGGAAAATATGCTATAATAACATAACCATATGTGTGTATATGGTGCTAAGCCAACACCTGTTTTGACATCTCAAGAGCTATAAGCTCTACTATACCAGTCCCAACCTACAATTACAAGATGACAATTGTGAGACAAATCAATTGTGATCTTATTTTGACAGTTAGATACCATATGTCACCAATTTAAGGGCTTGGAAGGCGATAGAAAAAACCAGGAAAATTGAACATGTCCATCAAGAAATTACAAGAGGTTTAGTTGAAGATGTGGTAAGACCAATGCTTGGTTGTTTCCGTTGTAGTATATACTAACCTCCGAACATCATCCTTCAATGTGTATAATCTATGTGTGAAGGGGAGTGTCACTCCCCCTTGGAATGATGTCAAAAGAAAGGGCAACGGAATGGCGGGTGAATGAAATGTATGAAATGTGTGTGTGTGAACAAAAATGCTCCCCAAGTGCATAGAGACTTTTGCTTATCGTGTTTTACTTGGAATTGTATTTGAAGGTCGTCTCCTCGGGGAAGGAGGTGTATCACCATGAAGGTGATTTTTGTAAAAATAAAGCGAAAAATCTTTTGTTGGTTGAAGGTTGGTTTGTGATTGTAATGAAAATGAAATAGAACAAATGTTGGTTAATCCAAAGGGTTCACTCTAATGGGAATACCAAGTCAACTCGAATCCTTCCCCCAATAGAGCATAGATGTACGATTGATTCGTGGGAAGCTAGGGATGAGATGGAACTGAGGATCCAAGTATAACCCGTGACAAGTCTACAGGATATCAAAGACTCACAATCCCGTCCACCCTCTACCTAGTCAAACTGAACCATCGTACTCTGAGAGGAGGAAGAAAAATGAGTTGAAATGACATACCCAAGAGGAGGTCTCCCTTGGATTAGCCAACTTAAAGGCTTAGCTACTCATGCTTAATGTAAAGACAACAATGTAATGAGAATACATTATGAAGAAATGAAAATTGGAGCTAAGCTAATGCAAAGAAACATAAACTAAGAGAGAAAACATTTAATACCCACGAAATGCACAAATATAACTTTTGGATGATTTATACGTGTCCATCACCTCTTTTTAAAGAGTGAATGATAAATTACTCACTCTTCACGGCTTTGGTAAAGTTAGAAAAGTGAGTGATGCTCATCCCTCTAGCTAGAGGAATTACAAGGTAAAACATATTACACAATGACCTATCTTCGACAAAGAATGAGTGAATCACGTTCCACCCTTCACGGCTTTGGTAAGCTCTAGAAAAGTGGAAGAGTTTCACTTCTCTAAGGGAAGAAGGAAGCTCAAACAATGGAAGTAAAAGAAAGCAACAATACAATAAAAGAAAACAATACTTAAATTAAAAGAAGCAATAAATTAAAAGAAAGTAATAATACAATAAAAGAAAGTAATACTTAAAGAAAGAAATAATACTTTTGGAGGTTTTTTAATTACCAAAAGATGAATGATTTTCAAGTCCTAAGGGGTGGTATTTATAGGTAACAAGGGAGGATGAAAGTCTTGTTTGACTGTTTTGAATTACACTTTGATCCCCCTTTGTATTGAGCTTTGATAATTTGTATCCAATAGTTTGTAGTTTTGAAAATTGACACCCTATAGTTTGTAACTTTGACACAATTGGGTTCCCCAGTAGTTTGTAGCTTTGACACAATTGGCTCCCCAGTAGTTTGTAGCTTTGACGCACAAAATCCTGAAAAGAACAACAATTAATGCATTATCCCTAATTCACACACTAACCCTAATTTGACTTATTTTGACTAGTTTAAGTTTGTTTAACTAACACAATTGACCTATTAACTTAATTAAATTATACATTAATTAGGGTTAATCAGCCAACATCAAGGTGTATGCTTGGTCACATTGGTTTTTTTCCCCATCAATTCAGTCTTTCTAGTAGTTTTTGACATATAACCAATTTGCTCCATAGACTAATGGTGAAAGAATACCTCAAATAATTCTCAAACAGGGATAGAGGGGTCGTGGGTAGGGCACACAACCCCAAATGGAGTGGGTTCATGACTAAGATCCCCCGAATGCCCATCCATAAATTGTTACCCTAATGCCAACCGATCCATAAATTATAACACTAACCCTGAATTGTAACTCCATGTGGTACTTTATTTTGTAATTTTGGTCATCTTCAAAAGTATATTTTGATTGGTTTTGATTTGAATGTTTTTGTAATACAAATGTAGAACTATTTACTTTAAATATACTTTTGTGATTTGAATGTTTTTGTACTAATATGGAACTATTGACTTTTGTTATTCACAACCCTTGGTTGGTAGGTTGTTTTGCGTTGCGGTTTAAAGCAATACCCTATTCATTTGGTTGGTAGGTTGTTTTGCGTTGTAGTTCAAAGCTATACCCTATTCATGTGGCCTCAATGGCGCTTCCGTTTCTTGGTCTTCAAGCTTGAAACTCTTATCGTAAGTATCAAAGTAATGATTGGCCATGTGTATGGAAGTATAGTTATGCAAATACAAGAGTGAAAACAATCCGAATAATAGTTCCCAAGCAAATGGTGACCCAAAACAAGTGTACAAATAAAGTCTATCTTCATCATGCCACGTATTAGAGAAAATATCATACCCCATACCCATACCAAATCAAGTAATCAACCCACGATCTAAGGAATATCGGTGTCAAATAGAAAATCCTCAAAGCAAACCAGATTTTGGAGCACAAATAAATAAAATATTTTGGAAAGTCACTAATATTTCCTCTATAAGTTTTTGGTGCCATCATTACTTTACTTTTGTACTATACCACACTCTACCTAGTTATTTTTACTTATCTGCCTAGGATGTTAATATTTAGAAATAGGAGGAGGAGTAGAATCTCACTAGCCCAACACCAAGGAATAAGAATATGTGGTCAACCAAAGTACCACCAAGTAAATTTAGTGCTGCAACAAGCCCTACAAGATCCACAGCTGTTGTACCCTGAAAAATGGAAACAACAAATTAGACAAGAACACAGAATACCTTCCAGTGACAATATCAACCACGACGTAACACATGTATATCATCATTGAAGACCAGATGAGTAGTGCAATATTTCGCTAGTAGCTCAAAAGCTTTGTAATTTGCAAAATCTTCAAACTAAGAGAGTTCATAAATTTTTTTTTACCAATGTTAGAAATGCTTAAATAATTCTAAAATCCAGAAAGCCTAAATCTTGGGTGAAGTCTAACACATTAGAGCGATATTTCACTTACCTGTACTAGAACTTTTTCACCATAGTTTTGCTGAACAACAGTCATGAATTCATGTAAAAAGTCATAATATTCCTGGGGTAGGAAAAACTGTCATCCTTCAACAACTGCTCATTGTTTGTCCCCACATCAATAGTTATAGGCAAACACTACATCAGGAGGTAAAAAATTTCATTAGTACAGTGAACCAAAATGATAGCGCCAAACCAAACTCTAGAAATTTTGATCAAGCTCATAAATAAACAATGTCAAATAGATTTATTTATTTAATACAGTGAAGAAAACCATACTAAGATAGATGAGTTTCATGTGCACTAAAGAAAAACTTTAAGAAAGTAATTATCCCAACATCCAAATAGAATAGTCAAACAAAAATGATAGTTTCCATTTGTTGTGGTTCTTACCGCTAAAGGTCCAACTCCTTTCTCACACTCCCTAAGGGCTAGCCACCCTTATCCCTTTATATTCTAACTCAACTCAAGCCGCAATAACTAATTAGAAAACTCAAGTGGCGCAAGTTTGGATACCATGTAACATAAAAAAAAAAAAAAAAAAAAACAAGAACAACATCATATCCATCTTCAACCTTTGATACATCCAATTTTTTTTTAAAAAACTGTTGATATAGGCGATGGAAAAATTAAATAGAGATAATTATTAATGTAATAACAAAAACATAACAATCACTTAGATGAAAAAGACAAGTTTATAAGTGGAACAAATAGGAGTTTGGTAATATTTTTGATCGTATTAAAGTTCTTGAGGTAAAGATGAGGGTTGCTGAGATCCTTAGTGAAATAGAGGATTCATTGGTTAACCAACAAGCCCTTGATTCTCATAAAAAAGATCTTGATGATGTCTTGAGGCTTGAGGTGGTGTATTGGAAGCAAAAGGTGAATGTGAAATGGGCTGTGGAGGGCGAAAAAAATACTAAATTATATCATGTCTTAGCTAAGGGAAAGGCAGTTAGAAATAGAATTCAAAGAATTCATAATGGAGAGGGTGTGTGGATTGATAATGAGGAGGAGATTGAGAAGTGTGCTGAGGACTTTTGTGCTACCTTAGATAAAATTGAAGGACATGAGATGCAGGAGCATTTATTTGAAGTTATTCCTAGAATTGTGACGTATGAGTTAAATGCTGAGATTCGTAGGGAAGCAATCTGTTGTTTTTTCTATGTCAATTCACAGTGCTCCTGGGGTGGATAGGTGGTCTAGAAAATTTTTCCAGGCAACCTAGGATATCATTAAGTGTGATGTGTTAAAGGCAGTTAATTTTTTTCTTAAAGGTGACATAATTCCAAGGTCTTTAAATGCTACTTTGTTGGTGATAATTCCTAAGAAGCTTAATCCAATTTCTTTTGCTGACTTTAGGCCTATCAACTTATGTAATTTTCTTTACAAGATTTTTACTAAGTTGTTGACCTCTAGATTAGCTCCTTTGCTGGTTGTGTTGGTGTCTGAGGAGCATCATGTTTTTTCAAGGGTAGAGGTATTGGGGAATGTATTTCCTTGACTGAGTTAATGGTGAATGACTTGGATAGGAAGGTGGAGGGTGAGAACATGATTTTAAAGCTTGACATGATGAAGGCGTATGACAAGATAGAGTGGGCTTTTTTTGTTGAAAGTGCTTTCTTGTTTTGGATTTTATGAGCTCTTTGTTAAGATCATTGGGAATTGTTTGGGAAATCAAAACATTTCTCTGTGTGTGAATGCTTTGAGAAGGGGTTTTTTTCCTGCTTCTAGGGGGGGTTAAGGCAAGGGGTTCCCGTCTCCCCTTTCTTATTTGTGTTGGCTAAAGAGGTCTTGAGTAGGGGTCTATGCAGAATTTATCAGGAGGGTCTAGTGAAAGGTTTTCATCTGGGAAGAGGCTCATCTTTAGTAAGTCATTTGCTCTTTGCAGATGACACTCTATTTTTTTTAAGGGGGCTGAACAAATCTCTGGAGCACTTGCTGAATTTTTTGAAGGAATATGAGATGTGTTCAGGCCAGAAGGTAAGTCTACCTAAGAGCTCAATGTTTGTTCAAAACATATTGGGAGCTCTAAGAGGCTAGTACTGTCTGAGATGGTTTGGGATTCCTATCAAAAAATGCCATTTACTTACTTGGGTTGTCCTATCTTTAGTGGGAGGACTAGGATCAGGTATCTTGAGGAGGTTTTAGTGAAATTTTGACAACGGATGGAGGGTTGGTATTCTAAATTGCTTTTTAATATGGGTAGAGTTCTTTTGGTACAAACAGTATTGAGCTCTATTCCTATTCATCTTTTAGCTTGTGTGAATTTGCCTAAGAATATTTTGGCTCGTATGAATTCAATGATGGCTAGTTTTATTTGGTCAAACAAATTGGATAGTAGGAGGAGATTGATGAAAGAGGATTCTCTGTGGGCTAGAGTGTGAAACCCGAAGAAATTTGAACTTTTTCCGACAATGGGCAAAATAGTAATTTGCCACTATTTTGCGGGATTAAAATGCATATTTCTATAGAGCTCGGATGAAGCAATGAACTTCACCATTAGATTCATATCGCGAAATTGAGTTACCACGTCAAATTTCGTCGAATTCTGAGATAGTCGGATTCTACATGTTTTTCAAAACGATTGGGTGACAAATGAACTTTTAAAGGTCCCCAAAAACGGAAATTATAAAATTTTCTTATAATTGAATAAAATTTCAAATAAAATTGATTTGAACTAAAATTAGAATTTAATTAAGTCATTTCGGGTCAAAAACGGACCCAAAAGTGATAAACGAGTGAGACAATATGGACCATGCAATTAAAAGTATAAATAGGAGCTAAATATCTGAAAAATCAGATATTTCTCACCCACTTGGCCGGCTGTATCAGACGTTGAAGGGAGAGAGGAGAGAAATTATTTCTTCAAGGCTTTCTTCTTCGATTCAAGAAATTCCGTCGGTCGGAATTGCTTGATCCAAGAATTAAAGTTGGTCTACACGACGAGGGCTACGCATACATACTAAGAATGAGGGATTTTACCAAAAATCCAAGAGGTGACTTTGGGGAAATCAAAGGTTTTGGGGCTAAGGAGGTGCCTAGAAGCTTTCTATCTTCATCTCACGCTCCAAGAGGTAAGGTTTCTCCTACCTTGGTTTATTTTCTTACCTAGATATCATATGAAATGGGCAAGGGGAATACATTGACCTAGGTTCTTAACTAGGGTTATGGATATGTGGACAAAGGGATATGGAATTGGCCTAGGCAAGTTCCTAGTTACTTTTGGTATAGGGGATTCACTTGTGAAATTGTGGTAATTTGATAAATGTTGTCATTGTACCTTGTGAATGACTTGGATTAATTTATGTGATAACATGAATTATTTGCTTGGGAGGTGTCTAGCTAAATGCCTATGTGGAATTTAATTGTTATGGTATGAGTTGTATAACATACCATGAGTTTTGTTGAGAAAACATGAGTAAATATATGTTGTTAATATGCTAATCTTATGTTGATTGGTAGTGATTATATGCAATTGATATTAATTGTCATGTTGTGTGTTGAGATTGGTTAAATAGCTCATTTGACATACATTACATTTGAGCATGTCATCAGTATTGCAATGGTGCATCAGATTGTATTTGCACGAGAAAATGCATCCATGGCCATGAGTATGGGTGTGTGAGTGCATGATTGGATCAATCACTATATTTAGTATTTTGATGGGTGGGCTCGGAAAAGTGGTTTGCATATCCTACTAAGTACGTCCTTACTTTTTGGTCAAACATAGACGGTGAAGATTTATGCGAAAGTTAAAGAGATGCCGGTTCATGGAGCCTCCGAAGCCCCACAGAAGGTTAGTAGTAAAAACCGGTCAATTCCGGCGTCTCCCGCGAGATTAAAAATTAGGATCTCGATATCTTAATCATTTAAACTCTAATCTTTGTGCTATCCTGATGATCAGTTGTTTTCGACCATTTCACCATACTAATTGGATGATCTTATTTGCTTTATTTTTTATAGCATAGTTACGGTTGCATTATATTTTATTCATATTATATATAAATTGTGTTTATATTTAATTCACTTTGTATCAATTTATTCATTAGACGTGTAAAATCCGGGTAGATTTAAACTTTTATGAATAAAGGGTAAAATGGTAAATTGTCACCATGATTCGGGTTGTAAATCTGAAATTTTTGTAACTCGGATAACAAAACGGACCTCACCGTTGGATTCGTCTCGCGAAATTGAGTTACCACGTCAATTTTCGTCGAATTCTGAGATAGTCAAATTTTTCACGTTTTACGGAGCGATCGGGTTTCGGGTGACCCTGTACACGAATTTTTTATAAAATTTTAAATTTTGGGCAATAAAATAAGATAAATTGAAATAAAAATATTTTAGATTTAAACCGGGGCGAGATTTAATTGTTCGGGACAAAAACGGACCCGGAATTAAAAATGGACATGTGGCCAATTGTGGGCCAAGTGTTCTAAAGTATAAATAGGGGAAAAAATCAGATTTTTCCCCCATTGTTCAGCATCCTCTTCAGCCGATAGAAAAGAGAGGGAAAGGAGAGGGAAAGCTTCAACTTCTCTCTATGATCTACATAATTCTAGTGCTCAAATCCGCTTGGACCAAGAACAAAGATCGTTCTCCTCGTCAAGGGCTACGTCTACGTACCAAAAGGAAGTGATTTCACCGAATAATCAAAGGAAGGATTTTTGGAGATCAAAGCTTTTGGGTTGGTTTTGGTGTTTTAGGGGTTTTCTACACTCCTAAGAGGTAGGGGTTATTCCTACTTTGGATTATTCTTACCTTAGGTGTTGCTAGACTAAGGGTGAAAATTATGTATATGCATATGTATTGTTATACATATATGTCTATGGGTATGAAAGTGAAAAAAATTAGCATAGGAATAGCTTAGGCTAGCTTCTAGCTTGAATTTGGTATATGGAGGTTCCATGTGATTATTTTGTAACTTGGTGAAAACTTAAGGCATGCTATGTGTTTTATAAACTATGCCTTGGAATATGTTATGTGAATACATGACTTGAATGACTATAAGATGTTTGATAAAATGCCCTAGTG